TTTAAACAATTTAGAGCTAATATGAGCTGTGGTTATGCTGATTGCGAATATAATAAAAATATCGGTAAGTAATAATAATATCATAACACTTTAGTAAAAATACCCGTCGAGAACTGGTCGGAGATTTTTTCCTTATAAGATTTTTTTACGTTTCCTAAAACGACGTAAAATTTTTATCCCACACATTTATAATTCTATACAATAGTAAAAGCTAGATAAAATTTACTAAATCTAATAATAACTGTTATATACACTTGCATTTTAAATTTATGAATAATGCGTATTTGAATGAATTTAGTAGCTTCATAATTTGTAATATACGGATTTAGGACATTTTTCTACATTTTCTAAATTAACTTTTAATTTTCATTTAGATATTAGCATACAAACTAGATAAAATGTACTAAAGTTTAAGAAAAACTGTTATATACACCTCGATACTAAAAATTTGAACAATTCGTAGCTGAAATGCGGACTTTGATATTTTTATAATTTGTAATGTGTAAATTTAGTACATTCTTTTACATTTCTTCGAATAACTTTTAATTTTCTTTTCGGACAATATAGTTTCTGTATATCAGTAAAAACTACAACTTATTAAGAACGATTATATACACTTGGATATTAAAATTGTGAATAATTCGTAGTTGAAATGCGGACTTTAGTTCTTTAACAATGGATTGAGTTTTTTTTTTACTTTTTTTCAAATAACTTGTAATTTTCATTTGGGACATTATAATTTTCATACATCAGTAAAAACTACACAAAATTTACTAAAAACAGGGAAAAACTTTGATATACTCTTGCATATTGAAATTTTGAATAATTCGTAGTTGAAATCAGAGACTTCAGTATTTCAGTATTTTCATCATGTGCAATATATAAATTTAGAACATTTTTTTACTTTTCTAACTTGAATTGAAACTTTTAATTTTCGTTTCGGACATTATAATTTCTTTGCATTATTAAAAACTAAATAAAATTTATTAAAATATCGTAAACCTGCAAACATCTGCATAATAAAATTTGGATTTTGCAGTCGAAAAGCGGACTTTAGTATTTCCATATAATTCGCGATATAAAAATCTAGGACATTTTTTTTACATTTTTTAAAATTACTTAAAATTTTTATTCTTATTCTTATTGCAATTTGTTAACTTGAGAAAAAACTAAATAAAATTTACTAAAATCTAGTGAAAACGGTTTTATATACACGTATACTATAATTTAGAACAATTCGTAGTTGAAATGCAGACTTTAGTATTTTAATAATTTGTCTTATATACATTTAGAGCAATTTTTTACTTTTTCCAAATAACATTTAATTTTTATCCTGGATAAAATTTTTTAAATTAATAAAAACTAGATAAAATTAACTAAAATGTACTAAAACCTACTATATACAGTTATTAAAATTTAAAATAATTTGTAGTTGAAGTGCGGACTTTAGTATTTCTATATACCCCAATATATAGATGTAAGACATTTTTTTATATTTCCTAAAATGTTTAAAAATTTAATTCAAAAACATCAGTAAAAACTAGATAAAATTTACTAAACCCTAGTAAAAACTTTTATATACCCTTGGATACAGAAATTTTGAATGAAATAAGTTGTGATAGCATTAAAGAGACACTTTTATATTTCGACTGCCTTATATAACTTTCTCGTCAATTTTATGTTGTTTATTTTTTTCCAAATAAGATTTTTTATATAATTTAAATCCGTTTGATTGTCATTTAAATTGAAAGTGTATAATATAAAATTTCAGACTGTATTTAAGTGTATTTAGTTGTTAGAAAAATGTATATAGCTGACAAGATAGAAAAATTGTATAGAATAGAAAATTATTACATAGAATATAATGTATTATAGTAGGTGGCTAAATGCTCATAGTTAGCAACGCCATTAAATAAAAAAAAGAATCTGTAAAGGAAAAATCATTTAATGACTATATATTTTATTTCAGGTCCAAATAACAAGTCATCCCACTTCCATTGCCAAATCTGCGACTTCATATGTTCCGATACAAACAAAGTAGTTGCTCATAGACGTCAACATAATAAGATGAATCAAATAAAAAGTGCAGGTTTCGAAAAATTCACACCAGGAATGGATTGCACACGAGGTGCAGGTGGAAATGAAAATTCTGATGGATCTCCAAATGAAGGTTCGACCAGGGCCGAATCGGGCAGTTGCGTTCATAATATGAAACAAACACATTACCATTGTCTGGTGTGCAATTATGCAGTTTTGGGCCTGGCGCAAATGTCTGCACATAAATTTAGACACATGGAATAAACATGTAGTATAGATGAAAATTATTTTTTATAGTACTATTTAATATGAAATATTTATTTTTATACCCCTTGTACATATATTTAAGTCAATGAATTCTAAAAAGTATTCTAAATGATTTTTAATGGTGTTTTTGAAACAACTAAAAATATATACTGAAAGTATTTATGAAATGCCTTGGTAATGAAATATTGATATCTATATACTTAATAAATTTGTAACTTTTTTATATTCAAAGATATCAATTATAGTGATAAACACAAATAACGTGTATAGGCAAAAGTGCTTTTTTGAAAAATATATAATAAAAAAGTATTTTTATATACGAACATTATTTATAATAAAGTGGGAAAATATTATTAAGCATTAAATGACACAGTAATATTTATATTGTAATATTTTTGATAGTCATTCCCAAAAAAATCTTGAACATCATAATAAAATATAGTTTAAGAATTTATCTGCCAAATAATATATAAGATATAATTTAGTTTAGAAATATTTAATATATTGCATGTATATAAGAATTGAGCTATGCATTAAATATACAATTACCATAAGACTTATATTTTGCTAGAAGACTCACTTAAAAATATAATATATTATTATGAAATTGATAAATGTACAATTGTGATTAATTTTACTAGACATCAAATTAATTTGTATAAGTTTATTCAGAATATATAGTAAATGCGAAATGCACAATATATTATTAGTTTTAAATGAATATAAATAGTAATTGTTGCACTTGAGAAGATAATTAGCCATATGAATAAAATATTATATGTATCCATCATGTGCCATTTTGTACATATTGTATTTGAATGAATTTATAAAACTAAAGTTTATATATGCATAATACATTGTTATTTATGAATAGATGGAAGTCTTATTTCAAGTTCTCATCATATTGCAAAAAACGATTTCAGGGCAAATTTGAAATGAAAAAATTTAAATAAGTATTAAATATTTTTTAGTAAAGATTACTGATACTTAAAATGTGAGTCGAGACATGTGAAAATGTGGGTATCAAATTAAAATTTATCAGGATCATAAAATATTGAAGAAAATTTGAAAGTTTATTCAATATTTTGAAAACAAATTAACACACTATTATAAAAATTATTTTGACAGAAATAAACAAGAATGTTATATAAGCATATTTACGAAATATGCCTCTATAACACTATCACAAATCATTTTAATCAAAATTTTCATATCCAAGTGTGAATAATAGTTATCACTAGAATTTATGAAATTTTATCTACTAATTAAACCAATTATGATGTCCAAAAAGGAAATTAAAAGTTATTTGAAAAAAAAAGCAAAAAAATGTACTGAAGTCCTTGCAATATATAGAAATACCGAAGTCCGCATTTCAACTACGAATTATTCAAATTTTCAATACCTAAGTGTATATAACAGTTTTTACTAGATTTAAGTAAATTTAATTAAGTTTTGAATAATGCAAACAAATTATAATGGCCGTAATGAAAATTAAAAGTTATTTGGAGAAAACTAAAAAAAATGCTCCAAATCCACAAAATGCAAGTTATGGAAATACTAAAGTCCCCATTTCAACTACTAATTATTCAAAATTTAAATATCCGGGTGTGTATAACAGCTTATAACAAATTTTAGTAAATTTTATATAGTTTTTACTTATGCAAATAAGTTATGATGTTCAGAAGGAAAATCAAAAGTTATTTGGCAAAATATAACAAAATGTTCCGAATCCAAATAACGCAAATGACAAAAGTACTAAACTCCGAATTTTAACTACGAATTATTCAAAATTTTAATATCCGGGTGTAATTAACTGATTTTACTAGATTTTAGTAAATTTTATCTAGTTTTTACTAAAGTAATCAAATTAAAATGTCCCAAATAAAAATTAATAGATATTTGAAAAAAAAAAAAAATGTAGGTACTAAATCCTTTGCAACACATATAAGAAAATACGAAAGTCCGCATTTCATCTACGAATTATTCAAAAATTCTATATGAAAGTGTACACAACGGTTTTTACTAGATTTGAGTAAATTTTATCTAGTTTTTACTAATGTAAACAAATTATAATGTCCGAGAAGAAAATTAAAAGTTATTTGAAAAAAAAAAGTAAAAAATGTACTAAATCCCTTGCTATATATAGAAATACCGAAGTCCGCATTTCAACTACGACTTTTTCGGAATTTTAATATCTAAATGTATAAAACAGTTTTTACTAGATTTTAGTAAATTTTATCTAGTTTTTACTGTTATATATAAAACGAATTGGGGCAAAATTTCTAAGGTAATCAAACAAATGTTTCAAATTCACTTCTTGCATAAAAAATGTCCCAGACAATTTTATTCAAAAATTTATTATGTAAGTGTGTACTATAATTATCACTAGATTTTAGTAAATTTTATCTAGTTTTTACTAATGTACACAAATTAAAATGTTCCGAATTAAAATTTCAAGACATTTTAAGAAATGTAAAAAAATGTCCTATATTCCAATACGTAGGCTAAATGAAAACCTGAACACTAAATCAATTGTCTATCCAAACAAAAACCACCAGCAAATTTAAAGTTAGTAATATTTAAAATGGTAAAAATACCCGGCTGGTATATTTATTTGCTTCTCTTGTAGCATGATATATATTTTTATAACTCCAATAAAATTTTAAAAATAAGTTTTAATAGAAGTAGTCACTAATTTTATTTTATTATTTGGGCTCACATACTTTTGTACTTTCATTTAACTTAAAACACACTTGCTATGTATATCAAATGTAAAACCAATTCCTTAAAATACGTTTATTTATGCACAATTTTACTTTAAACTAATATATTTCTTTACTTCTTTGAACCTCCAAAACCTGAAAAACCCATGATCGAAGCAAGTTCTTCCTGACCTTCACCGACTTCTTCTTCAGCTTCTTCAAGTTTTCTTTTCCGTTCCCTTCGTTTTAGCCTCCTGTACTCCTTCTGTCGTTCTTCTTCTTCTTGGGCTTCACGTATCCGAACTTCTAACTCTACGTCTTTCTGCTTCTCTTCCATTTTTTTCTTGTTTGTCTGAAACCTCGCTTTCACCTGATAAAGGACACTGAATTTCTTAATAATTTTTCCCATGTAAAGAAATAATGATAAAGGAATGATGCTGATTTTCTTAATAATTGATCCTGAATTGAACTTGTAGTGTTGTAAAAAATTGTGCGTCAAAAGAGGTGATGATTTTTAAAATGTAGAACACCAGCTTAACTTGAAATTTAACAAAAAAGCCATGGAAGACTAAACATTCAATGTAAACTCTTTTGTCAGTCTTGTAATACAAAGATAAATTGGTAAGAGTGAACAGTTATCAAAAAAGATCTTCTAGGCGTAAACTCCATATCATCACAGTGAATTTAATATTTTATTTGTATTTTTATTTTATTTTGATTAATATAATTTATATCAAAGAAAACTTTTCATTGATTTTAAATAACTCACAAAGACCCAGTAATTATGATTCATAAATAAATATATCATTCTTTGATTGAATGGCAAAAAAAGTACATAATGTGCAAAAAAAGTGTAATATACGACTTCAATAGTAGATGATATATAACAAGACGCAAATAATTAAATATAAACACACCTAAAGTTTGAAAGTACAACATTCAAATTATCCGTATAACAAAGTCATTACTCAAATATTTAATTAAGTGTCCAAGACAATTTTGATAACACAAACAAAAAAAATAAACATATGTCTATTATTACCTGATCTAATGTACTCCGTTCAACCCTCATCGACATCCCCAGATTCCTCTGATGCTTCTTGCCATTTATGTGGTCGAGAAAGTTAATCGAATCCTTAACAACACAATCACAGACATTACAATAGTAACCCCCAGACTGAGAGTTGGGTGTACTTTTATTAATGACAACACTTTTGCCTAAACGGCTCTCTAAATCAACTTTGTAATCTCTCTGTTTCAGGTATTCCCTTTGGGCTGGGGTTTTGGAAGAGGTATCATCGTCACTTTCACTGTCATCTCGGAGACGTTCTGCAGCAATTCGTTCGTATTCATCTTTGTCCCATTTGCGACGATGGTCGTCAGGTCTCATCGACATGGTAAAGGGGTAAAGGATAGATGCTCAAAATGTTTTGTTGTGACAATATAACCTATAAAGTGTAACAGCACTTTTAGTACTTAACTTAAGTAAACACCAACAATTTTTGCATGCACTAATCAAATACTGACTACTACATGACTTAAACTTATTTAAACTATTAATGAACTACATCAAACCTTGTTTATTATTACACGGCAGCCATATTGACAACTGTCAAATTAAATTATTTATTTTTAACAAGATGGCCGACCTTGAATTTACTTTCACGAACTTCACTCATATCATAACTCTGCAAAGTTTGACAGCTGAAGTGCACAATTTTTTATTGATTGACTTTTAATTAAATTTAATTATGTAAAAACAACAGTTTTCTTGAAATATATTTCATAAAAATCAACAATGGTTGTGATAAAAGTGACAAATGTTGAAAGAACCAAAAAAGTCGGGGTAGTTGCCCGAAATTTGGAAGAATTCCACCACAAAGTTATGACGAAGTACAAGGTAAGGGGTAAAGGATAGTTTTTTAATTATTTATTAGTTTAATGCATAATTGTGCAAAAATTAACGTGTTTTATTGAATATATAGCAAATGGTTTTATAAAATATACATAAAAGTACTTGAGGCTTGATACTAAAAATAATATATCAAAAATTTGTTTAGAGGTTAGGCTAATGTTATTTTTAATGTTTTGTTAGTTTATTTTTGATATTTTATTAAAAGCACAAAAATGTATATTAAAGCCTAAGCAATTGATTTATATGAAGCACCATATATCAAATCATTTTGAAATTATTCAATACTGGTTTTCATATCCGGATAATTTTAATATTTTACTTAAAACCTTTAAATTGTCTTCGATGACAACTCACATATCTTCAATTTTGACATCAAAGAAGATTTGAACATTCAAGATATCTTTAATCAGTGAGAATATTTTCAAATTTAAAGTATCGATAATCTTTTCTACACTTAGATCCTCATTTCGACTGAATTTGTCTTTCAATTGTCTTTGCATCTGAATTTGCAATTCAATTTCAATGAAATTTATATCACTGAATAATTTGTTACATGAAGCACTGTCGATTCAATCATTTACTAATTATTCAATAATTGTTTTAATATTTGGATAATTTAAATGTTTTTTGTGAAACATTAAAATTTTCTTTGATATTAATGTATATACCACATAATTTCAATTTGATACTAAATAAGCGAGTAAAGATACATATTCTCATATTACAAGTATCAATAATCTTTCCTACGTATAAATAAACCTTCAAAACTCATTTTGACTGAATTTGCTCTTGAATAGTGTTGTTAAATGGAATTGCAATTCAATTTTCATAAAATTCTTATGACTGAATAATTTATTATATGAAGCACACAATTGTGTATGACCCAATTCAACAACAATATTCGTTTTAATATCCAGATGATATAAATGATTTACTTAGAGCATTCAAACTTTCTAAGATATCAACATATAGCCCAGATAATTTCAATACGTCAATAAATAAGCGAGTAAATTTGCATAATTTTGTATTATAAGTATCAATAATCTTTTTTTCGTATTAATAAACTTTCAATATTCATTTCGACTATATTTGCTCTTGAATTGTGTTTTTATCTGAAACTGCAATTAAATTTCAATAAGATTTATATCACTGAATAATTTGTTATGTGAAGCACTAACAATTCAACATCATTAATGGTTTTAATATCCAGATAATTTAAATGGTTTACTTAAACATTCAAATTTTCTTTGATGTTAACATATATTTTTATTTCATACCAAATAAGCAAGTACAGTTACATGGTCTTGTATTACAAATGTTCTTTTCTACAAATAAATAAGCTTTCAATTTTTATTTCGATTGTCTCATTTGCCCATTGAGTTTTCATCTGAAATTGCAATTTAATTTTAATGAAGTTTATATAAGAGTTAAAGTGACTGAATAACTTTTTATGTGAAGTTCTATTAATTCACTAATTTTTAAATGACTTAATAATGCCTGGATAATTCAAATGTATTACAAAATATTCAAATTTTCTTTCATGTTAACGATATCACCCTGATATCTTTATTTTGATATTAAATAAGCGAGTAAAGTTACTTATTCTTGTATTACAACTATCAACATTCTTTTTTATGTATAAATAAATCTTCAATACTCACTTTTCACTGATTTTGCTCTTGAATTGTGTTTTCGTCTAAAATTACAATTGAATTTTGATAAATTTATATCACTGAATAATTTATTTTGTGAAGCAGTATGAATTCACATCGAAATTATTGAAAAATGGTTTTAATGGCCAGATCATTTAAATGATTCAGTTAAACATTAAAATTTTCTTTGATTTTTCATATAAATTAATTTGATACTAAATAAGTGAGAATAATGATAATAATATCCCGATAAATATTTTATTTCTGATTCAAATTTTCTTTGATGTCATCATATAACACAGATAATTTTAATTTCATACCAAATACACCAGAGTTAAAGCGACTGAATAATTTATTATGTGAAGCACTATTAATTCAACAGCTTTGCAATTATTGAATAATGATAATAATATTCGGATGATTTAAATGTTTTACTTACTAATCCCAGATAACTTTAATTTCGTACCAAACAAACGAGTAAAGATACATATTCTTGTATTACAAGTATCAACTACATTTTCTATGACTACTCATTTCAATTTAATTTACCCTAAAATTGTATTTTCACGTACAACTTCAAATCTTATCTTTGCAATATGAACGAAAACACTGTAAGACTTAAAATTATCAATTTTCTAGTAGAAATTTCTGACTACTAAAGTCATGTATTTTATTTACAGTTGACCGATAAACAACTGATGAAAGACGTAACATATCATTTAACTTCTGATGGTGTCTTGATCGATTGTGATGAATATTTTCAAACCCTCGAACCACAGACATCTGTGATGATGGTACTCAAAGAACAAAAGGATTATATTAAAACAGGCATGGAAAGATATTGCCACATTGTAGAAAGAATAGATTTATATTATTAATTTAAAAATTCACACTCTTAATATAATATATAAAGTTTTCTTACTTTGATTTTTTAAATCTTTAATTAGATTTTGAGTTTCTTATGGAAAACATCAGGGTGTGGCAAAAAGATTATCTGAACGCTGGAAAAAGTGTTGAGTTATTCATAAAGCAAAATAATGATAAAATCTTTTCTGAAATTTTTGCTGCTCTTAAAAGCTCTAAACTTGTACCTCATCATGAACGAATTGGGATATCTGATAAATATCTGAAACATGATTGTATTGAAGATAAACTTTGGTTTGAAGGTATTATTATTTATAATACTAGATGATTTAGAATATTTTGAAGACTTGTTGGTGTTTTACTCGTAGGTTTGGAAACAAATGCTAAAACTAAAGAATTGTACATGTTTAAAAAAGCACAAGACCGTATTCGCTCATATTTCTACAAAACCAAAGACGATCTTTATCACTCTACTGAATATAGAGAAAATAAACTTGCAAAATCTGAAATCGACTTCTTGATCAATAATTTCAAAAAATGGTTAATACATTACGGATTTTTCGGACACATTTTCGATAGAACCAAATACACACAAATAAATAAACTGGATGAAACCAATGCTGATGATAACATACTAAAAGCAAAAAAATTGAAACTAATGAAAGACGATAACAACTTGACGGTTTTGGAAAAAAGTCTTGCAATATTCCCTTTGAAAAAAACTGCAGTTTGCGATTCTTTCGGAAAATTTTCATGTCAAGGTGCTTGGAACAAAGTTTGCTGCGTTTATGGAGATCATGTTATCAACCCTTATATATCGAGAGAGTATAGAATTTTATTTCAGGTAGAAAAATATAATTATTTAAATTAATAAATAATTATATTTTTCTTATCACATTTCATTTACCAAAAACAGACTTGGAACTTGGATCATCAGGTGGAAAAGTCGCGTACGGTCATTCCAAATATATTAAAAAATGTTAAATATTTGATTGATGACCGGGCTACATGTCTTGTGCACCCTGATAGACCAGCAGTTCACTTAACTCAGGTAAAAAGCATGAAAAATTAAAAATTTTTAGTCTAAAAAATACCTGTATGTGAATGTGGAAGTATGTGTTATATAAATGAAAGAGGCAGCTGTGTGACAAAAAATTAAGGGAAATCATGAGAGGGAGAGAGGGATCTAGTAAAATATCAATTGTATTTATTTTTACCTGAATTTAAAAAAAAAAAACTAAAATTTTATGAATTTGTCGTAAATTTGAAAATTTTGTTCAAAAAAATTTTACTTAACTGAAAATATATTTGATGTTTGGTTGGGGAAGTTGGGTAATTTTAAATATCACGACGTATCACCAAGGAGGAGGGGGTTCAAAAATCCCTAAGAATTTGATCACGTGATTAAGGGACGCTCCCCATACAAAATTGTAAGAATCGTTTACTCACTGCAACGCATGACACATATAATATAAAAGTTCTTGGGGCATATTGATTCTGAATCTGAAACTGATTTTATTTGAATTGAATTGGCCCATTTGGATATTCAAGGATTTTATATATTATTGCCGCGTTTTTTATAATATATTAATTTTTTGAATTACGAAGCGACATCCGAATACTCATTTTTGACTTAGGCTGTGGCATGTCTAGCAAATAAAGTAGGATTTTCAAAGTTTTGTGGAAAAATTTACATCTTTGATTTTATAGTCATAGATTTGTATTAAGGTCACCAGTTTGGCTGGGACAGTCCCGGATTTTTCATCTTGTGTCCCGGATTTTTCTAAAAGCAATATTTGTCCCGGGTTTAGAACTTTTGTTCCGGATTCTCCCGAGTTTTCGAAATGTATAGGTCTAAATTGAATCTTAATTCTTACTTCATAATAAAATTACAACTACCTATCAAATAATCTGAAAATGTTCTGTACAAATAGCCTCCCATATTTATAATTTTGAACTTTTATCTTCAATTTTACGAAAATTCACAAAAAACATGAAAATTGAATTTTTCGACTGTCTGGAGTAAGTGCTGATTATTTTTAAATAATTCTGAAGAAAATTTTATAATAAGTTTGGAAGCAAAAAAATATAAGATAAAGCATAACATAATCGAATAACAAAGTTCTTACTC